TGGTTCTGTTAGCAGAGTGGTCCTGTTAGCAGCATTATCCTGTTAGCAGTGTGGTTCTGTTAGCAGAGTGGTCCTGTTAGCAGCATGATCCTGTTAGCAGCATGGTTCTGTTAGCAGAGTGGTCCTGTTAGCAGCATTATCCTATTAGCAGTGTGGTTCTGTTAGCAGAGTGGTCCTGTTAGCAGAGTGGTCCTGTTAGCAGCATGATCCTGTTAGCAGTGTGGTCCTGTTAGCACCATGGTCCTGTTAGCAGTGTGGTCCTGTTAGCAGCATGATCCTGTTAGCAGTGTGGACCTTTTAGCACCATGGTCCTGTTAGCAGTGTGGTTCTGTTAGCAGCATGGTACTGTTGGCAGTGCAGTCTTGCTAGCAGCATGATCCTGTTAGCAGTGTGGTCCTGTTAGCACCATGGTCCTGTTAGCAGTGTGCTCCTGTTAGCAGTATGATCCTGTTAGCAACATGGTTCTGTTAGCAGTGTGGTCCTGTTAGCAGCATGATCTTGTTAGCAGCATGGTACTGTTAGCAATGTGGTCCTGTTAGCAGCATGATCCTGTTAGCAGTGTGGACCTTTTAGCACCATGGTCCTGTTAGCAGTGTGGTTCTGTTAGCAGCATGGTACTGTTGGCAGTGCAGTCTTGCTAGCAGCATGATCCTGTTAGCAGTGTGGTCCTGTTAGCACCATGGTCCTGTTAGCAGTGTGGTCCTGTTAGCAGCATGATCTTGTTAGCAGCATGGTACTGTTAGCAGTGTGGTCCTGTTAGCAGCATGGTACTGTTGGCAGTGCAGTCTTGCTAGCAGCATGGTAATGTTAGCAGTGTGGTCCTGTTAGCAGTATGATCCTGTTAGCAGTGTGGTACTGTTAGCAGTGTGGTCCTGTTAGCAGCATGGTACTGTTGGCAGTGCAGTCTTGCTAGCAGCATGGTTCTTTTAGCAGAGTGGTCCTGTTAGCAGCATGGTACTGTTGGCAGTGCAGTCTTGCTAGCAGCATGGTACTGTTGGCAGTGCAGTCTTGCTAGCAGCATGGTACTGTTAGCAGTGTGGTCCTGTTAGCAGCATGATCCTGTTAGCAGTGTGGTACTGTTAGCAGCATGATCCTGTTAGCAACATGGTTCTGTTAGCAGAGTGGTCCTGTTAGCAGAGTGGTACTGTTAGCAGTGTGGTCCTGTTAGCAGCATGATTGTGGTGTCAGGACCGGTCCAGGTCAGTCTAAACCCTGTCCTTGCAGATCCTGTGAGCCAGCTGGATGTCTTTGTGCATGTCTAAAAAAGTTAAATCTGGTCCTCTGGACATTGAATGTCCAGAGGACCAGATTTAACTTTTTTAGATTTTTCTACCTGGATTATTGAGCATGCATCAGGATGTCTTTGTGCATGGCGTCCACATTAACTTGGCAGTGATCACTGTGAAGGTCGTTTCTGTTGAGGAGACACGATGGAGGACCGTTCCGGTCCACCTGGTCGAGCGGATCGTTGCACCTCCGTGCAGGAAAACAAACACACCATCTGAGAGGAACTTTGTGAAAAGTTTTGTTTCGTTCCAGTTAATTTGTCGTTATCTCCAAGTTCATCACATTCTGCAACAACTTCATGCACGGATGAGATTTACACCCCCCCACCACCACCTCCCAAATTAAAATAAAAATCCCCTCCAACATGCCAGGACCCATTTGAGCGATCGACCTGCAGGACCACGTGGACCACCGGCTGCTATAAAACGGTTCGTGGAGGTTCAGTTCTGCAGAAACCAACAGCGAACAGAGAAAAGCATCATGGCCCGAATCGTCGGAGCGACTCTGCTGATCCTCGTCCTGATCCACTGTTTGTCCGACAGAACCGGTACGGACCAGAACAGGTTCATGTTCCGTAACAGACTTAGAAACTGTTAAGATGCAACCAGCCGGGAACATTCTGTGCCTAATCATTTCTGCCTCTGGGTTGTGTTTGGACTTTGTGCAGCTCGTTGTGACAAATTTCAGACTGCTGGATTCACGGGGAAGGAGATCCGTCGGTGCCGATGCAAAGGTGAGTGACCCACAAGATTTATTTTTATTATTTGATACTGGTGTATGTTTTCTTGTTTGAAAGCTCGTCTC